TCTCTCTCTCTCTCTCTCTCTCTCTCTCTCTCTCTCTCTCACACACACACACACACACACACACACACACACACACACACACACACACACAAAGTTTAGGCTGCTCCAGTTAAAGTGCTCTTGGGCTGGATGGACTGGACCAGATTTTGATCCCCATTGAAGGAGAAGTCAATGCTTGCTACTAGAAGCAATGTGAATGCTGAGGAAGAATTAAAGTGTGGAAGCCACTCCAGGGATCTTGAGTGACAGATGGACATGGAAGAGATCTACAAAAGCTATGCAAGGGAAATGCTTTAGGATGGAGTCTTGGAGGATGGGAGGGAAAGCAATGCTTGCTCGCTGAAGCTTGGGAATGAACTAGCTCATTTTAGGTGTGTAGAACTATGTCATATCTATGAGCTAGGACTCAGGATTTGGGTTTATGCAGAGTCCTCAATTATGACCACGGTTCTAGCCAACCTCCACAGGAGCACACTTCAGGCTTACAGGCACTCCATGTCACCTTCAGAAGCAGATGTGGAGTAGTAGAATGTGGAAGTATTGCTCCTATTTTTCAAATTTTGAAATCCTGTTGAGTTTTTTTCACTCTCAGTCACTATGGCTATTTCAATAAATCAAATTTTAAACTTTCTTCTTGAAAAAAGATAACAACTTATTTGCTAATGCATTCTTTTTCTAGTTTGACCAATACAATTTATTGTGGGGAAAATGTAAATAAAATGAAATTATGAGAACCACTTTAATTAATTAATAGTCAACTAGTCTGAAAACATTGGAATTCCATCATCCTTGGCATCTCTTGCACACACTCTTTTAATTAACATATAAACTAGAACACAAAACAAACCTGAATATCTTTGCAAATTAATTTTCACAGAGTCTAAACAGAGGAATTTAACTGCGGCATCACAACTATGCATTTGTCTTGCCAAAATATCTCCCCCTTGGCAATGCTGTCATTCTTACCATGAACTACAAACTCCCAATGGTCTCTTAGCTCCGTGTGCAGTGAGCTATGGAAAATGTGGAGTTGCTTGGTTTTCAAATGCTTAAATCATGAACCTTGGCAAGACCAAGGCAAAACCTATCAGCATCTGTTCAAACCACTAAAACAATAAAAATCCAGCTTAATCTGTTAATATCGCTTGACAACCCCCACACAAACTTATCAAATATCTTATCAAAACAAAGGTAGATCCAGAGATCATAAGATAAGCAGAATTCACTCTAATACTGAAATTTAAAACTTGCCTTGATGGCATTTGCATTCTAAAGAGGATACTCCAAATCCATGCCATCCTGCCTATTGATTTGTCCTGAGCCAGCAGAATTTGTAGAGATGATGCTATTATGAGCAGAGTGTTAGAGACTTGAAATTAACTTGTACCATTCCTATGCACTTGTTAAACTTTATGGATCTAAGATTAACTGAATTCAAAACTGCTGACTGCAAGTCTATGACATTTCAGATATAAGACTTGACACTGAGAATTCACTGAGCAAATATTTGCTTAAGACCTACTATGTGCCATACAGTATCTTCATTTCTGGCTTGTTGGGAGTGAATGAAACAAATATGGCTTCTGTCATCAGAAGTCCTTTGGTATAGTAGTGAGTATACATGATAAGTTTTGATATGTTTACCTATGTTATTAAAATTCAGGGATAATTAATTTGGTAACGAGTAATGTATGGAATAAAACTGGAATGGGAGACATAGGCTAATAAGCAAAATGGTCAAGGATGGTTTCTTTGTAAATGATATTACCAGACCTTTAAAAAACTTGGATGATTGTTTCAGAAGAATTTCAGAGAGAAGTGTGTCCAAGACAGATGGGAACAAGAGTCGTAGAGAGCTTGATGTGTTTAAGGAACAGAGGAAACCATGTGACTTGAACTTGGATCCCAGATAAGAAGAAAAGAAAGACAGTATAGGGCTGGTTAGGTTTGAAGAACAAGTGACTGGGGACTCTTCAGGTACTACTAAGGAGTTTGTATCTTATTCCTATGTGACAGGCAATCGCCGAGTTTTAGACAAGGGAGTACACAGTATGAGTGAAAGCCATGCATCTGCTTTGGCTGGACCAAAGCCAAGACTAAGGGTAATTATCCTTAGGGTAGTCTGAGAAGGAAAAAACTGGGTCCCAGGCAACAGTTGGGTACATAGTTTTTTTTTTTTTGTTTTGTTTTTTTTGTTTGTTTGTTTTTTTTTTTGGTGTGTGTGTGTGTTCATTGCATCCTGTCATGTGTGTATGTTTAAATTCTATCTCAAAGGCAGAAGTAATTGAATGCTTTATAAACTATTCTCTTCAACATATGTGCCAATAAAATAGCATTTCCTTCACATTCAGACAGTGCTTTACAAATCATAATTTGGATTTGAAGCAATGAAGAGATTTAGCTGAGACAATCTTTTCTTTTCTTTTTTCAAGTAATTAAACTAAGCCCCCAACTTTTTGGCCAAAGAAAAGCAAATATAATTTTGGGAAATGACTACTATTGGTACAAAACATATTTATGATGAATTCAGTCCCACAAATAAAACCTTCCACTTCAGTGGCAATC